GCTAAAGAAATAGGACTCGATTTAAAATATGAAATGTGTACGACAAGTTAAATATCAAAAGGAAAATAGGATTTATAAGTAAATTTCCTAAAAATACTACCAATGTACTTCCAGATAATATATTTTCCCAAAACAGTTGTATATGAAGAGTAACTTAATGCAAAACATTTCTTTTCTTTAAACCAATTGCATCATTACAAAAGCAAGAAAGAGACTCGGAGGCATATAGAGATTTTGGCAACTAGAAATTCAAAATGTCAAATATTTGGGTTTGTTTTTTGTTCAATACATATAAGCACTTTCTAGCTTTTGTTCTTTTTATGGAAGTTTTGTTAACTTCACTCGTTTTTTAGACTTTTTTTGTTTTATTGGTAAATACAACACAACAATTTGGATGGACTATTGTTTTACATTTTTTTGTTTTTTTCATTTTTATTAACTGCAATCCTATGCTCGTTTCTTCTAATAATGATTGTTAATGCAATTGTTGTGTTTAGCATTATTGTTATTGTTTCATTATGCACTCTTAAAAAGTTATCGTATATTATGTGTCAAGACAACATAATAAGCATTGTTATTATGTTTAAATAAAATTTAGGAAAAAATTTGTCATGTATTACCGTAAATAATATCAAGTAAGAACATTAAATTGTTATTAATGACTAATACTTCCTAACAATAAATCATAATTTTATTTAATGTCATCTGTACATATTCGATTTTTTTACCCCATTTTTTGAGCCAAATTCGTATATTCACTATTTTTTTAGCTTACATAATTTTGTCGATCTATGTTTTTCACTTGATTCCTTGCCTCCGAATTTTTGAGATAAAATCAATTTATTATTAATATTTCAACTTTCCAATATATTGCAATTGCCGACTTGCTAATATATTATGGCGGCCCTTAGACATTATCGACCACAACATATAGGAACAGGAAAATATTGCGAAGAGCCTCAGGTTTCTCTGAAGAGACTCATTGTCCATTAATCAAGAATATAAATAAATCCTATACTACACCCAGCCTTACCATAAATACAAGATAATGTATCAACCTTCCTCAAATATACAGATTACCATGTATACTTTCTATAATATACAGATTACCATGCGCACCTTTTATATTAACCTAATAGACAATTTACACTTTCCTTTCACAAATATCAATTAATCTTTACCTTCTAAAGGTCGTCTTATCTGTAAGATATTTAGAAGTGCCATTATCGGGCAGATTTGGTTGAAAAGAAAAAGGATAACTTTTGATGGGGTCTCTCGGGATGTCCAGAGTATTAAGGACAAGATTTTGAAAAGCCTTTGAGACTGATTCTATGTCACTAAGGAAGGGCGCGGGGTTTTGAGAGCGGATATATATGTTAATTTGAAACTTCTTGTTTTCTCTTTTGTGCTTAAATATAGGCTCGTTTCCTCTCGGATGCCTCCTCCATAAGGCTCTTTCAAATTAAACTTTGATGGTAGCTCTCTTGGGAACACAGGATCAGGTGGAGTGGGTGGAATTCTCAGGGATCATCCTGGGTCTATAATCTTCTCTTATGCTGGACCTTGTGGCTCTACCATGGCTAACCGGGCTGAGATAGTTTCTCTCCTTCATGGTTTGGAAAACATTGTTAGCAAAGGAATTTCAGGTGCTATTCTTGTTAAAGGTGACTCTCTTAATGTGATCAAAACGTGTCTGATGCAGGAAAGGATTCCATACACTCTTCACACCTTTTGGCTTAAAATCATGGACTGTGTTCCTCTCCTGAGCTTCATTTTTCCTTTACTTATCTTTCATGAAGCCAATGCTTTAGCGGATCGTCTTGCTAAACATGGAGTCTCTTTACTTTCTTGTTCAATAGTTGATGCTTGATCCCTGCTTTGTAATTGATGCTTGCGAAGCAACTTATGAATAAAAGCTCATAATATGGTCAAAAAAAAAAGGGGGATGGAAACCCCTTCAAAATTATTAAAGGACTCAAATGATCATAAATAACATTTGAATGTTTGCTTTAAAGATCATAAATAACATTTGAATGTTTGCTTTAAAATTTATATTTCAATTAGGTAAATCCTAAAAAAGATCTTTAAAAGTTTCCAAATTACCCCTATTCTATATTGGAAAGCTTGAATATTTACAGGCACTTTGATAATTTTACCACAAAAGAGTCCTTAAAAAAATGATAGAAATGCACATGCTTGTTCAGAGATAAAAGATACCAAATAACTTGTTCATCATTTGAAATGAAAAACAATAAAAGGCATGTTTCATCATTTCAAATACTGAACAAATTGTTCGTCATTTATTACCGTAAACAAGGAAGAGGTACTTTTGTCATTTCATGAAGGCCTCTTTGCGGCTTAAACTACCAAAGTAACTTTAATTATTCATTCTTTCAAACATTGAACATGGGCAATTTAAGAACTTTTAAGTTTTCTTTTTTTTTAGAGGATGTGCCTAATTAAAATAGAAATTTAAAAGCAAACCCTTAAATGGAATTTGTGATCCTTTTTAGCTAGTTTGAAAGGGATTTCAACCCCATATATTTCCCTATATGAAATAGAAAGATACAGGGGTGGCTAGATACCCCTGGCACATGGTCCACCGCCCCAAATGCACACCAATTAGGGATTTTTGTGTTTTAATTCACAAGGGATTATTGTACAAAGGCCATTGGATGTTAAAGAAGACAATCAGAATGAACAGACAATCAAAATTTCTTTATAAATAACTTTTGGGGTAAAGCACCTTGCCATGTTAAAAAATCAACTTCTTACTTAGGCTCTGTAGGGATGGACAAATATGATATTTCTCCCCCCTCATAAATCATGAATTTTATATAGAAATTAATTAAAATGTGAGGGTGCACTTTGTTCTCCTTCCCATTTTATGGTGTTCAAAGGATCTCCTTCGACCATGACACGAATTATCCTCACTCAAACCTCGGCTTCATTAGTTGTAGTATTTTGATTTAGAGTAATTCTTTTGGCTCCATATAAAAAATATTTTTTAATTGAACTAAGGAATGACTTAAGATAATTTAAATATTCTTGCATAAAAAAAATCCACCAAGGTTTGGTGCCTACCCCGTTATGAACAGTGATCGCATTCAGGCTAGATGAAATAATTTTCTTGTTCTGAAAGATAAATATGGAATGGATTTGAACTTCTCATTAAAAGTCCAAGAAGTAAGACAAGTTTGTTCCATGCTTGAAGAGTTATTGACTATGAGAGATCTGTGTATCTACAGCAATTCTGAAAAATAGTGGGGAGTGGAGAATCCACTCTCTTTTGGTTTAACAAATAGATTGGAGATGAACCGTTGAGATACATTTTCCCTGAGATTTTCTCAAAAGCTTTAAACCTGCTAGCATCTATCAAGGAGATTAGTAGGGGTGTTAATACTAATATTGTTTGGTTCATTCTTTGCAGGTACATAAGAGGTACAGACAAATTCATTGAGGAGTATCATACATTATTGGGATTATTGAATGACACATATTTGACTCCAAATATGGATGATAGCTTTATTTGGGATCTTACCCCTTTGAGAGATTTTTCGGTTAAGTCAACTTATAATCTATCATTTTCTTATCGTTGGAAAGAGTTGGATGCTGGTTTATTCAAGATTATGACATTGCATGTGCCTCTTAAAGTACAGCTATTCTTATGGATCTTGTGTCAAGATAAATTAGCAACTATTGATAACTTGAGAAAGTGGGGGTTTATTATCACCAATGTATGTATCATATGAAAAGACAGTGATGAAACTTCGCAACATATTTTCCTCTCATGCTCTTTTGTTACATATCTTTGAGATTGGGCTCGGCAGTGCTTCAATCTGTCATTATTTTTGTCCCAAAATATTAGAGCTCTTCTTGACCAATAGAATCACACCCGATATTTTAAAGATCGAAACTATTCTTTGGAGATCTATTTGGAATATGTGGAAGAAAAAAAATAAAAGAGTATTTGATAGTATAAGTACAGATCTGTCTACATTAAAATCAAATATTTAGCAATTGCAGCTGATTGGTTCCTTGCACATAAGGATAGTGGATTTATTTCTAAAAGTCTTATCATTAGCAATCCCTTGGCAGTGGCGACTATGGGTGCTACTAACAACACTTGTAATGAGGTTGTTTGGATACCACTATAAGTGAATTCCTTCAAACTTAATTTTGATGGAAGTTCACTTGGCAATCTAGGGCCAGCTGGCTATGGTGGACTCATCAAAAATAAATTGGGTTACATTATACTTTCTTACTCGGGTCCTTGTGGCATCACAACAACAAACGAGGCGGAAGCACGAGGTTTATTAGAAGGTTTGAAATTGCTATACACTTTGGAAGGGGGCAGGATTATCGAAGGAGACTCGACAAATATCATTGCCTGGAGTAAGAGAAAGGTTTATATTCTTTGGAGATTAAGGATTATTTTTCATCAAATTTAGGATATTTTGTCAACCTCTATGGCAACGGTCCAACATTGTTATAGAGAGGCAAATGAAGATGCCGATATTCTTGCCAAAGGAGGAGTCCATACTCCCTCTCTGTTGATTACTTCATTTTTGTAATCTTGTGTCTTTGCATGAACATCTTGTATTTTATATATGAATTAATGATAGGTCGTACGTTACTGTTCAAAAAAATAAAAATAAAAATAAATAATAATTTTCATCCAAAAGTGAATGACACAAGTAGCATCTGATAACCAAGTAAACTTGACAAAGTATTCCACTTTTCCTGTAGATTTTTTTTTTTTTTTTTTTTAGTGTGAGAATAGTAAAAGAAAAAAGTTTATATAAATCCGAGGCTCTAAACAATCAAATTAGATCCCATCCCAAAAATTTCACTAGAAGAGGTTGTTTTGATACCCAATATCCTCAAATTAATCATCTCTACATCAAGATGCATGGATAAGAGAAAAAAATGAATTTCAAGTTTTTGAAATAGTGCATTGTAATGCATTTTTTA